ATCCCTCATCTCTTATCCTTATCTTATCTTCTTAGTAAGAGTTCTGTTTGCCACTAGAAGTAGGAGTTGTGTTACCATTAGAAGTAGCTAATTTATTTAGAAGTAAGAGTTTGAGTTTAATATGGATTACCCTAGCCTAGCTGAATCCAACAAGGAATCCCCTTTTGTAATCTCCTATTTAAAGGAGCTTGGAATTGGAATAAAGGATATCAAATTTCCAGTCAAGAAAGAGAGTAAAAGGAGAGTTCGGTGATCTCTTGGACAAATCACCCCCTAGTTCGCCACAATAGGGTCAGCACACAAAGGGAAGGGCAAGAGAAGACTAGGTGATCCCCGTGGACCGACCCGTGACGAGATCCTACGCCTGGGCCCATAACATTTTGGTATAGAACCAATCGTCATGGGCGATATGGAGCAGCTATCATCCAAGGTCCACGAACTGGAACATAGGCTAGCAGAAACCAGCATGGAGGTTCGTGAAGTCAAGGAGGATGTCCGGGAGCTACGACGCCTGCTGGAAACATTCTTCTCCACCAGAGAAAGGAGCCCTGAAGGGGCGGCCACCAACAACAGCCGCCGTCCAGATTTGGCGGAGGGCTCCGGGGAATGACAGAACGCCACTCCATTAGCAGCGGTCATACCCAAATACAGTTGTCTGGAGTTTCCCTCATACAACGGCAGCGGCGACCCACTAGGATGGTTGTACCGCTGTGAGCAATTCTTTCGTAATCAACATACGGAGGAGAAGGACAAAGTCAGCCTGGCCGCGTTCCACCTGACAGACGAAGTGCAACTCTAGTTCTACTGAGTGGAGCAAGAAGAACCAGGTCTTAGTTGGGACCAATTCAAGTCATACTGCCTCCTTCGGTTTGGACCCCCACTAACGAGCAACCCCTTGGGGGAACTAATTAACCTCAAGCAGACCGGGACCATAGCAGAATACCAGCGCCAATTTCAGACCCTTCTCACCAGAGCCTCCTCGGTACGCCCAGATCAGCAGGTAGATATGTTCACCGCGGGATTGGCTAAGCCCCTGAGGGTAGATGTGGAGATGCAGCATCCTCCCAACCTGGTCACTGCCATGAACCTAGCTCGTGCTTTCGAACGTAAGCTACAGATTTGCCGAGGGCCTCCATCAGCATGGGCATCCCTGGAACCACTTGGAGTGGCTTCATACTCAGCAGCCACCCAAGAACGGAAGCCACAGACAAGCACCAATTCCGGATCAGCATCCAATGTGGGGAGCAGTATCGTTACACCCCCTATGAAGCACTTGTCCCGGGCTGAGATGGCAGAACGCAAGGCGAAGGGGCAATGTTTTAATTGCGAGGAACTCTACTCAGGAGGAAGTGCAAGAGACTTTTCTGCCTCCTAGTGAAACAAGAGGAAGATAAGGATGAACCCCCTTCATTGGAACCCGATCCAGGAGGCCAAAGTCATTTCACCTATCCGGGATTCCCTTGACAGTATTCCCAACACCCATCCTGAATTCGAGTTTGAGGACAAGCTCGTAGTCCAAGAGGGAAGTGATGTTATGGACACACACAATCATAGGCAGCAATACGCACAGCAGCACGCGCCATCCGGCAACAGCACTAGAGAGGGGCCCACATGACAGCTCAGTAGGGTGGGCCCACACTTATCTTGCCACAACAGCACCGCTCACCAACTCGCCGCCAGCTACATTATCCCTCATCCCTTATCCTTATCTTATCTTCTTAGTAAGAGTTATGTTTGCCACTAGAAGTAGGAGTTGTGTTACCATTAGAAGTAGCTAATTTATTTAGAAGTAGGGGTTTGAATTTAATATGGATTACCCTAGCCTAGCCGAATCCAACAAGGAATCCCCTTTTATAATCTCCTATTTAAAGGAGCTTGGAATTGGAATAAAGGATATCAAATTTCCAGTCAAGAAAGAGAGTAAAAGGAGAGTTCGGTGATCTCTTGGACAAATCACCCCCTAGTTCACCACAATAGGGTCAGCACACAAAGGGAAGGGCAAGGGAAGGCTAGGAGTTTTCCCCGTGGACCGACCTGTGACGAGATCCTACGCCCGGGCCCATAACACATATCAACAACCAAAGGTGTGTCTACTCCTTTCTACAGGGGTGCAACTGGGGCAGGTTCAGGTTGGGAATTTATTAAAATTTGAATGAATCCGAACTGAAATCCAGAACCAGATGCAGTGTAAATTTATTTGGCAGTAATATCTTGTTTGTACCTCTATTATTCTATTTTCTCCATAAGGCTACACAATGTCAATGGGGTAGCCCATCTCCCAAACCCATAACCCCCAACTTTGATGTGAGCGAGATTGGATATGAAGTCTCCACTACAATCAGTCAAAGACCTAACCAACTAGTCAATTGGAAGCTTGAACCCTTACTCTTTGGTTCTATTTGCTTTTCGAGAAGTTATTTACCCAGATCATTATATTTATCCATTTTTTATTTTTCAGATAAATAAGAAAATGATCATTTAGCAGTAAATACTCAGGAGATACAGGAAAAATAAATTTTCCATAAACCCTACATAAATCTTAGGCCTTGTTCGCTTTTCGATAAATTACTTACCCATGTTCTTTTATTTCTCATATAAATAAGGCAATGACCATTTTATCCATAAAAATCCAATATTAAAAGGGGCATTTTTGTCTCATTCAAGTGTTGGCAACTTTCCCCTAAGTGGGAAAGTTATTTATCCACCTAGGTACCAGGAAAATAAACTTTCCCTAATCCCCATATAAATCTGAAAAAAAAACATGGGATTCTTGGTCAATGGAAACCAAAATCCCATTGACCAACTTTGTACCCTCTCAAAATCTAGAAAAAGAATGCCCCCTTAAAGAAAAACATAAATATCTTGGTCAATGGAAAGCAAAATCCTGTTGACCAAAATAGACCCTTTTATTAAAAGGATAAATTACAAAAACCTCCCTTGAGTTTTATGACAATCATAAAAACCTCTCCTACGTTTTCACTTTAATAAAAACCTCCCCTGTACTTTTTAGAAAACATGCAACTATTCCCTTCCTTTGTAGAAAAGCCGATTTAATGTGTTTTTTTTTTCTAAAATGCCTATTTTTCCCTTATCTCTATCTATTTAGATGTAAATTTATTAAAATAACCTCCAAAATACTGTTCATTTGCTTCCGAGAATTGAGAACCAAATCCTCCAGCCTTCTCTCTCTCTCAAGTTTTTCTCACTATCTTTTGCTTGCCATGTCCATCGCATACCCATGGCCTTAATCAATTCTAGTAGGCAGTAATGAAGATCTAAATACCCTCTATGCTTCAAGCATCTTTTCTACTTTTCAAGCAACCATCAACCTTATAAATCTCATAATGACAAATGTTTCACCAAACCTTGACACCAAGCTTCAGAAACTAGCTTTGCCATTTCTCTAATAGATGGCATATTCTAACGACTACAACGTCCATTAGCATACGTCCGTTAGAAGAAGAAGAATCATCTTTGTCGCTGAAGTTGAAGCCCATGAGATCGGAGATGGTGTCAAATTCCGATTGGAGGTCTTGCGACGCCAAATTATGACTGTGCTTCACGTCAATGAAATCGAATGGAGGGCCAAATTGGAGGTATGTGAAGAACCTACAATGCACATGTGGTGGATGCAAGTGTGAAGTGGCGACCGAGCTAGTGCTGGAGTGGGAAAAGGAAAAAATTCATTAATTCCTCATAGGTCTTAACAGTGCATTTTATGGCACTATTAGATCAAATATTTTGAGTACAGAACCATTTCTTTTCTTGAACCGAATACATGCAATAATTGTGCAAGAAGAACGGCACAAAACGGTGGCTCAAGCACGTGAAGAACGAGCAAAGGCTGTAGGATTTGCTATACAAACTAGAAATAGAACCAAATCTCAGAACAAAGATGAGAAGACGTGCTCTCACTGTGGGAAAACTGGACATAAGGTACTCGAATGCTTCTAGCTTGTAGGCTACTCATACTTACCCGATTGATGAGGAGGGGCATGTTTCGAAAAATTAATCAACAATTAAGGACATTTTTGTCTTTTACATGAGAGAAGACCAACGACTCTGGCCCTTGGTTCTCAAGAAAAAATATACAGTGTTTTAAAGGATATTTTAATAAATCTAGGCATAAGGACAAAATAGGCATTTAAAAACAAGCACAATAAATCAGCTTTTCTAGTGAGGAAGGGAAGTAGTTGCATGTTTTCTAAAAAATACAGGAGAGGTTTTGTTAAAGTGAAAACACAAGGGAGGTTTTTATGATTATCAGAAAATTTAGGAGAAGTTTTTGTATTTTACCTTTGTTAAAAAGAAGAGAGGGAGAAATTTTTTATAATGTGAATTCCAAATAAGGAGTACATTAAACAAATCTGTGTATAATGGATCAAATTTGTATCTTGGTATGAATTGGATCTGATTGCATTATTAGTCTTCGGTGTCTTTGGGACGGGCTAATCTCGTGACTCTCCTCAAATCATTCTGTTGGGCCGGCCTATGATGTAGGGGTGCAAGTTGGGCGGGTTGTGCTAAGTTTATAATCGATCTGGGCCTGATCTTAAAATTTGGGTTTAAGGCCTGAGTCTGAACCAAACCCAAGGTCAAGCCCGATTTTTCAATCTGCAGTGTAATTTGATGCACTCAGATTAAATTTAGGTACAGGTAAAATATATATATAAATATGCATATATATACAAAATTAACATATATATATACACGTATATATGTATAAATGTGTATAGTTGAACTGGATTCAAAATACTTAAAAAATAGGCCTAAGCCCGACCTAAAAAATAAAAAAGTCTTGACTTCTTATAAAATTTTGTATTAAAAACGATTTGGCCTGGGCCCGCGCAAGTTGCACCCTTACTGTGACGGTTGGTAAATTGGGTTCATATTGTACGGAGTGGTCAGGTTCATACGGTCTGACCCGGGCGTTCGTCCAAGCGTTAGTCCAATAAAAAAACACAAAGAAGAGAGGAAGAGGCCAACGGTTTCAGGTCAAAACACAAAAACTGTGTTGGTTTCCCACTAGAGTCCACCGTCTGTCCCTCTCTTCGTCTGTTCTGTTCTTTTTTTTCCTCTGTTCTCATGGCTTTCCGCAGGAGAATTCGCGTCCGAGAATCATCTTCTTCCTCTTCTTTCTCTCCTCCGTGGAATTACGAGGTCTTCTTGAGTTTCAGGGGTGAAGACACCCGCAAAAACTTCATCAATCCACTTCACTCTGCTTTGATTGAAAAAGGGGTCCTCGCCTTCAAGGACGATAACGAACTGAGAAGGGGAGAAGAGATATCCTCAGAATTGCTGAAAGCAATCGCAGAATCTAAAACTTCGATCGTCGTTATCTCGAGAAACTACGCTTCTTCAAGATGGTGCCTCGATGAGCTCTTGAAAATCATGGAGTGCAGGAAAACCATGGGGCAGTTGGTTATGCCTGTTTTCTATGAAGTCGATCGCCTGGTTGTCCGGAACCAGAGTGGGAGTTTTGCAGAAGCATTTGCTGCACATGAGGAGCGTTTCAAGGAGGCGGAGATGGTGGAGAAGATGCAGAATTGGAGGGAAGCTCTCACGGAATCTGCTAATTTGCCTGGATGGGACTTACGAAATGTTGCTACTGGGTATTACTCATTCGAGCCCCTTCTACATTTCTTGCTAAAATTTCCGTCTTCTTAAAATTCAAGGTTATAGGTTTATTTTATTTCTCCGTATAAGTTGAATGAATAAATTTTGAAAGTGCTGGTGGTTATTCTTCAACAATCTTTCTTCGACACTTTTTATTTTTTCTATTTAATCTTTAGTCTGTCAAAATTTAAGCCAATTTTCTACTGGGATTCAATAAGAGATAGTGGTATAGTGACGTGACTGGATGCATTTAACAGTCTGTGATATAGGACATGCCAATTCAAGGCAGAGCATGAGTGTTGAGTAATTCCGATCTTTACAGTGAAAAAGGGAAGTCCAAACGAAAATCAGATTTTTAATATAAAAAAAAAAAAACAGTTTTCCTTGTAAGTCTTTCCCACCTTTTTATAAAAAAAGATCGCACCGAACTGATTGACCAGCGTTTCCTGTGGAGAGACACGTATCAACTGAAAGGTTTAAGACCAGTACCTCATTGACTGTCAGCTGAAATGTTTCTGCTTCTAACCAATCTCTCCTTGATGGTGCTGAACTTGATTACTCTTCACTTTTCTTTGATCACGATGATCTTAATTTGTATCATCAAGATCGGTTTTTAGTCTTTAAATCTAGATTCAATGATGATAATACTTTGGCTGGAATAAAAGTCTAGCTCCTGAACTGCTTATGCAATGGCCGAAATTTTAAGAACAACTAAACTATAACTAAAAAAACCAGACAACTTCATTCCTATATACTCCCCATTCCCCCCACCCCCCACCCCCCAAAGAAAAAAAAAATGGACAACTAGACTGGATCCCAAAAGCCTAAACTGCTTATGCAATGACTGAAATTTTAAGCACAACTAAACTATGACTGAATAAATCGAGTTTGGCTTCGGTCAGTGCAAGCCCGTGCTCAAACCAATCTAACATCCTCTTACAGCCTTGCATTGGGAATATCTCCCCATGAAATAAAGCACATAAGTAGGGAGATATTCCTAATGCAAGGCTGTAAAGGCTGTTCGAACAGGCATGCATTGATGGAAGCCGAGCTCGAATAAATCAGACAATTTCATTCCTTTCTACTCAAAAGGACAACTAGACCGGATCCCAAAATCCTGTAAAATGACCAAAATACCCTTTTGTCTAAAATGGCAAAATACATAAAAATTCAGAAAATTCCAGTTTTGGATTTCTAGCTCTTGCATCATCTCAACTTTGAATAACAGCAGCTTTAACCTGACCTTTGGCATTTTTTATTTTTACAGTCAGAATGAAACCTGTTTTTCTCATGCTTGCCAGCCCAAGATTTTACCGTTACACCAAGTTAACTGATAACTTTATTGAATATAATAAGAAATGGCTTATGTACATTGTACAAGCTGCCGAGCAGCCCCAATTTAGTCTGGCAATTACCACTTAACCCAGTGTTTATTTTACATTTCTGTTCCTAACCTTATCCAAAATATTGATTCCTATTTACCCTTTGTTTGGATAGTACATCTGCCAGAATGTACTTTACTGTGAAGTGCTTCAATTCTGGCTTGATCCTTTTCTTTGGATTGTACTTGGTTATATTTGATCCTGCAGTTAGTTTATACCTTTCTGGATCTTCAACTTTTGTATTTTTCTTTCTGGCATGTGATTACTTCTATCTTAATGGATGTTTAACTCATTTAGTTTGTGTACTTTTTTATTTTATTTGGCTCTTAATTTGCAGGTGTGAATCCAAGTTTATTCAAGTAATTGTTGAAGAGGTTTTGACTAAATTGAATTTCAATGTTGCCAAATACCCAATTGGAATAGACTTTCGTGTACGAGAAATGTACTCATTATTAGATATCTGGTCAGATGATGTTCGTATTGTAGGCATATCAGGCATGGGCGGAATAGGCAAGACAACTATTGCCAAAGCCACATATAACCTAATCTTTCACAAATTTGATGGTAGCAGCTTTCTTGGAAATGTTAGAGAAGTCTCAGAACAACCTAATGGTCTAGTGTCTTTACAAGAAAAGCTTCTTTCTGATATCCTTAAGAAAGAAAATCTAGGGATAAGTGATGTTAATATAGGAATCAATGTGATCAAAAAAAGGCTGAGTACGAAAAGAGTTATTGTCGTTCTCGATGATGTAGATCAACAAATCCAATTAAATTCATTGGCTGGAAAGAGCAATTGGTTTGGTTTGGGAAGTAGAATCATTATAACAACTAGAAATGAGCATTTATTACATCAGCTTGAAGTGGATGAGATATATAAACTGAAAGAATTGGATGATAAGGAATCTGTTCAACTCTTAAGTCGGCATGCCTTTAGAAAAAACCATCCTACTGAAGATTATTTGGACATCTCAAAGCATATAGCAGGTCATGTTGGAGGTCTTCCACTAGCTCTTGAAGTTCAGGGTTCTTTTCTGTGTGGAAGGAGAAACATGCCTGAATGGAAGAACACGGTGGAGGAACTAATAAGAATTCCTTGTGATCAAATTTATCGAAGACTAAGAACAAGTCTTGGTGATCTTGATGATAAGGAAAGAGACATATTTCTTGACATTGCATGCTTCTTTGTTGGAATGGACAAGGATTATGCCATTGGAATATGGGAAAGTTGTGGATTCTTTTCTAAAATTGGAATCAGTGATCTGGTACAGAGGTCTCTCATAACCATCAACGAGAGGAATGAGTTGGTGATGCATGATCTGCTTCGAGACATGGCAAAGGAAATTGTCTGCGAGGAATCTTTCAAGGATTCAGGAAAACGCAGCAGATTGTGGTTTCATAAAGATGTCTACGATGTGCTGACAGGAAACATGGTAAGAATGTAAGAGTTAGTAATGCCAAGTTCTCTATTACATTATGAAGAGCTGTTTTGTCTGGATTTTACTAGGTAGCTAGTGGAATAATCACCAGTTCATCGGGTCTTTTTGGGCTTCTAAGATTCCACATTAATTGTTCTTCATTCACCTACATCTGTTTGTTAGATGGCTCACCTAGAAAACAAGTGATCAGATAAACTCTGGTGACTGCTCCAGCATGATGCCTGGTGGTTCAATCATGAGACATGAAAAAGCACTTTCAAGGTTGTTGTTATAGATACAGTAATGCATTTAATTATGGATGTTTTAATGGTTTGTTACAATTGAATGGAATTTGCAAGTCAATTCTACATGATCTTATAGGACTTCACTCATGTTGAAATTCTACAATTATAAGGAAAAAATGGTCTACAGGATGGTGATTGATTTCTTGTGTTTTCTCTTCCTCAATCCTTCTATGACGTGTCTCAGGTGTGGGGGTATAGTGCCTTTCTTTTGTTGGCTGGGAGCCTGGGACCATCATAATCTGCTAAGTGTTCAAGGGTATCAGGAAGCAACCCTTGGTGGGGTCCCACTTACAAGAGTACACACGCTAAGATCCATTACCTGATAAACTTTGGTCACCATTTTTCCAGAATACTTTAAGATTTGTAATAAAAAGTCCATTACCAAATGTTGGTCCCAGACATCTGGGTTCTTTAAGAGTTGTAATGAAATTTCTTATCCACTATCCAAATTTATATAGTAAAGTGACAGTCAAGATAATGATAAGATAATTTTGGTCCCATTCATGTAAGTTTCCATGGAAGGATGGGTTAAGATCCTCTAAATGCATGCACATGATGATATATGAGACTCAAACTATTTTATGGATTTACAGCCTAAGATCCAGTCTTTTGCACTCTTCACAAGATGAAAGAATGACTGTTCTTATTCATTTATATATTTTCTGATAAATTGACTGATTTCTAAAAAGACATGTTAGGTGGATCATGTAGAAAGAAGAGCAATAAAGAATGAAAATACACCTTCATCCAGATGAAAGACGTAAAGTAATATTTAACAATACAAACCAATTTCTCCAATTTCTAGGCACTGCTTTGCTAGTAGTTTTGTTTTTCATTATTTATACAAGTATTTCCTGCATGTCTGCTTTTCTTATTCATTTTTCTTTATTATCAGGGAACAGAAGCGATTGAAGGACTTATTCTTAACTTGCCTACATCAAATGACTTGTATTTGAGTACTGAAGCATTTGCAAAGATGCCTAAACTAAGACTGCTGCAACTTAATAATGTACACCTAAGAGGGAGCTATGGAAATTTTTCAAGGGAGTTAAGATGGCTTTGTTGGCATGGATTCCCTTTAGAATGTATACCAACTGATTTTCATATAGAGAACCTTCTTGCTCTTGACTTGCAACATAGCAACATCACACAAGTTTGGAAGGAAAATAAGGTTTGTTTTAGTATTTATACTTTCTTATCGATGTTTTAGTATTCTTTGCATCAATGTATTTTATGGAAGTAATCTCTTAATTTTTTTCTTATTTTTATTACTTGCAGTTGCTTAAGGATTTGAGAGTCCTTGATCTTAGTTACTGCAAATACCTAACCGAAACTCCAAACTTCTCAAGACTCACCAATCTTGAGGGATTGATCTTTGAAGGTTGTACAAGTTTGGTTGAGCTGCACCATTCGATTGGAGATCTTGGAAGACTTGTTTTCCTGAATCTAAAAGGCTGCAGCAATCTCAGGAAACTTCCAAGAAACATTTATAATTTGAATTCCCTTGAAAATCTTATTCTTTCTGGCTGCTCTAATCTTAAAAATCTGCCATCTAAATCATGGATTTCATTCTTTTGTTGTTGGAAATCAACAAGAATAAGGGATTTTTTCTCAGATTTATGCTTCTTGCATAGAAATGTGTCAGAAAGTGCAATTCCAAATGGACTTGGGGGCCTATCATCATTACAAGAGTTGAATCTAAGCTACACTAATTTTTGTAGCTTACCAACTACCATCATTTGTCTCCCTCAGCTCCAGTTCCTTAAGTTGGAAAACTGCACAAAGCTAAAGTCACTTCCAGAGCTTCCATCAAGCTTAAAGGGATTAAACGCAGAGGGTTGCACAGCAATGGAAATATTACCAAATCTTGGAAAATTATCCTCGTTGAAAGAGTTGAATCTATGCAAAAGCAATTTATGTAGCCTTCCATCCAGTATCAATTGTATTTCTCAGCTCAAAATCCTTCGATTGGAGAACTGCACCAGGCTTAAATCAATCCCTGATCTTCCCTCGAGTCTGAAGTGCTTGAAGGCAGATGGTTGTACATCTCTGGAAAAAATGTCAAATATTGGGAGTTTAACCTCATTACAAGAATTAAGCTTATGCAGGAGCAATTTTTGTAGACTACCATCGAACATCAATCTCCTTTCACAGCTACAAATCCTTCGGTTAGAGAATTGCACAAGGCTTAATTCACTCCCGGAGCTACCATCAAACTTGGAGGCCCTGTATGCAGATGGTTGCACATCAATGGAAAGGTTGCCAAACCTTTCAAACCTGAAAAACTTGTCCATCTTGTTTCTTAATGATTGCAATATGCTAATTGAAATTCAGGGTCTGGAGAGGTTGGATTCCATACGTTGCATTCATATGGATAGATGCAACAATCTAACAAATACTTTCAAGATGACTTTTTTCCAGGTCCCTCTCTCTCTCTATCTATCCATCTATCTATCTATCTATCTATATATATATTCTTGTGTTATTGTTAAATATCATCATTGTTTTCATGGAACAGGGATTTCATGAAAGTAGAAAGCTTGACATCTTTTTTCCTGGTGGTGACATTCCAGACTGGTTCAATAGTCAAAGAATGGGATCCTCTATATCTATTTGTTTTCCACCTGTTTTAGATATTAAGATCCAATCATTGATTATCTCTGCTGTTTATGCCACAGATGAGGATATCAATTTTCTCCGCTATGTTTTTCATGTTCACATCATTAATAAAACAAAAAATCTTAAGTGGAGGTTGAATCCAAAATCCCATGAAGGTCGAATGACATGTCAGCCTCATCTTTGGGTGAGTCATATACCATATTTTGAGATTATGGATTGTCTTGAAGGTGGGGATCAAGTAGAGATTTCTATATATTGTGAGAATGACTGTGATCAAAGGGAGGTTTCAGTAAGAACTGTACAAGAACCAAAAGTGAAGAAGTGTGGGATCCATCTAATATATGAGCCTGATGTGAAGGATTCTAATCACATCATTAATGAAGACAAATATACAGTAATTGATACAAGAATAAAAGATTGAAAGTCTGTATTATCAATGAGGTAGGATCGAGCAGTAGTCTTTCTAACAAGGGCCTTATAGACCATGAAAGCAGGATGACTGATGCCTTACTCTGATGGTGAATTATTAAGTATAAAGGTAAATTTCTTTTCTTCAAAAATCATAACTGAAATACAGTTTATCTCTCCATTTATATTTCAGCCCATGAAGCTAAAAGTTGGCAGTAAGAAATCCTATAAAATTCCTAATTTACTTCTTATCCTATTTAATTTACTTACCCCTACTGAGTGAGTTGCTTAATGGTTCTTGTTTTACTAGAATCTAGAAAATTACAGGCAAATGTTTTTGCAACATAAAGGATGCAGATAGTTGCAGAACTCCTGGATCTTGCACATTATTTCACAACAAGCTTGTTAAGAGTTATTCAAGGAAGAACATTTTTGTTAAGGAGACTCAAAAATGGTGGTCACAAACAACGTGGCTGTTGAATGACAAGTTTTCTCATATTGTGTACCTCATTTTTCCACTAATGAAAATCACTGACCTACCACTGTTTTACCTCTTCTAAGGGAGAATGCAGGATGGCAAGTTTGTGCTTATTCACCTCTTAATATGTGGTATTACCTGTTTATTTATAATGAAGATCCTTTTATTTTTCTGTCCTTTTCTACAAATTCATAACACCATTGAGATTTTATTGATCATCGATCAACTATACAACGCGGTACTTTAGGGGTAGTGATACTCAGGTCCTTGAACTTTCATTTGCAGCAAAGAGTTACTCTGTCCTTTCAACTTCCAACACTCTTGCACCGTCCTTGTTAATGGTTATGGTAAGGGTAAATTTCTGAAAATGCTTATTCAAAGTAGGAATAATCCAACCCTATGGTTCAGTGCAACTAGGACTATCCAGTTCATCAAATAAGCAACAGTAAACTAACAAAGGGTGAATTTTCTCTTTGTACCTCTTCCACCTTCTCTCCCACTGAGAATTGAAGGCTCCACTAGCGAGGGGAAGAGTACTGCCATGGCTTTTCAGGTTTTGAACTCTCCATTAAAGCTGCAAAATAAAGAGTGGGCTTCTAGCCCTTGGAGAGTAGGCATGTGAATGGAAGTGAGGGTGGCACTAATGGGTTTTGGGGAATCAAAACACCTAGGGTGAGGAAGAAGGTGATTAGGTGAGAACTTTGTTATAGGGAAGAATCATGAGAATTGGGCAATAACTTAAGCTTTGTGTTAGAGGCTATTAGAGACCAGTTGAGAATGCCAAGCTCAGAGCTAATCACTTAATATGGTCCTCAGAATTGGAACTTGATCAATAAGAAACTTGATGGAAGATCAAGTAGCTCAAACGAAAATCCAACCTTGATAAAAGATCAAGTAATGCAAAGTTGATCGATGAGAAGCTTGATGGGGGATCATTAAGGGGGTGTTCTACAACATGAATTGTTTTCCTTGTTGCTGGTTCAGAAAACAAATCAAAATCAACTTGTGTATGTGTTTTTTGTTTTCTCTACTGAAACCAAAAATATGTTCTTGAATCTGGTTTTAAAACCAGGTTTTCATTTGATTATTCAACATTATGTTCTATAAATCATATAATTTCTATACTAGAAATTTTGTTTTTTTTTAAAAACCAATATTTTGTTGGTTTCAAAAATATGTATTGTTTTTTAAAACAAAACTAACTTGGTTTTTCCTTTAAAAGCAAAAAGTTAAAAACAGAATTCAAGAACATGTTTTTATTTTTTTGCTGATGTGTTGATTCCAAAAACAAATGAAAGCAAAAACATTCAAATTGTAGAATGTCCACTAAGAGTTTCAATCCTTCCCGTATCATGTATTTCCGACAGCATAGGTTTTCCCATATCATGGTCAAAGTCCTTTGTAGAGATGGATCTCCTACCAACAGCACATATTCCAACATTATATGACAATGCAAATCTCATTACACGAGTCCAATCTCATGGTAAGATATGCGATGTTAGATCATATTGAGAGGGTATTGGGATGTGTTTTGTTGGGGATCGGATTCTCTCCTCATAAGACCGTGACTACACCATACTCATAGCTACTTTCAATCATGTATTGAAAATATCTCCATACTTGTGTTTATTGGGTGATATCCCAATCCACAAATGCAAATGGTTGTGAGGGAGATCGGTTTCTGTCAGGGCAAGCCTGTATCCACACCATTCCAACCGCCTTTTTCAACCTTGCATTGGGAATATCTCCTCAAGAAATATAGTACATTATTCTCAATGCAAGGTTGTAAAGGCTGCTTGAACGGGCATTGCCTTGACCAAAGCCGATTCGTTGTGAGGGCAATGTGAGCACGATCTATTGGACTCATCAGAGTTCGTTTTGTTGGGAGGAGATATGAACATGTACATGTATATTGAATGTGGATCTACTATTCCGCGCTCTAGATAAAATCCAACACATTGCAGCATAATCTCATAATTTGACACCACACATCTCACCGTGAGAGATGGGGGATCAGATGAGATCCGATCTCATACCCAGTTAGTTATTTACTAGCGGGGACCTATGTGATGCATGAAATTTGTTAAATTAAAGATAAACAATAGAAACATGTAAAAGTATACAATTGTTTTATAAATAATTAATAATCATTTTTATTTTATACACTATTTTTAATAATTTTTTACAATATAAAGATAACAATAATTAATTTTAAATATGGATGCTTATCAAACTTAGGGATGGCAATTTTCCTCATTTCCCCAATCCCCATGGGGATCTACCCTAAAGGGACAGGGATGAGTACGATTTTTCCTCGTGGGGATGAAGATGAGGAAACTTTCATCCTTGTTGGTGGGGATGGGGAGAACATTCCCTGCCCCAGGGGGACCTTGATCCCCACCCCATGAGATCCCCACTAATATATGTCTTCATCCCCACCCCACCCCCCATTGCCATTCCTAATCAAACTAATGAAACTGACCAATCCAATTTCTACTATTTTCAGTCGACTTTGATTCAACAATTTCCCAACTTGATTGGATTGGATTAGTTTTTTTTTGGCCATTTGTAAATTGATTAAAATCAAATGACCCGACCATATATATATATATATATTAAAAATAGTTTTTTAATATGGGAAAAATGGGAAAATTCCAATATTTCTTAGGCTAAAATATTTTATATCATAAACTTAATTTTTAATTTTTTTTTTAAGTTTAAATCTTTTGAACTAGCTGATGAAACTTAAATTGACCCAAACCAATATAATCTGAGTGACCAACTCCCCAACCTAACCCATGAAAAATAATTTAGTCTCCAATAATTATTAAAAGTTATAGCAAAAATGCACAATAAATTAAATTTAAAAAGCTAAGTAACAGTAGTTTAAACTCCAATAATTATTGAAAATTTTCTATTAAATAGAAAACAAAAATAGATTTATACATAATTTCATTATTAAATTTTAAAATATTAATCACTTGTTGAATTTAATAACCCATAAAATTACAGTACTATTAATACATAATTTTGTTATTTTAACTATTTAAAATCTAGTTATGTTAAATATTTAGTTATTTAACTAAATATTTAAAATCTTAATCTATTTATTATAATTGAAAGTTATTCAATAAATATTTAAAGTATTAATTTTAATATTTTGTTATTTAAGATATTTAGTTATTAAAATATTTAAATAATGTTTCATTTTAATGTTAGTTTTTTATTATTTGAATAACATTTAGATTGAATAATTCAGAAAATCATAATTTTATTGTTTGCACATAATTTCATTATGAATTTTGTAAAGATATATAATTATTAGTAATATTAATATTATTAAATATATTATAATTATTTTTGTATTTTTAATAAATATTTTAAAGTTATTATATAATTTTGTTAGAATATTTAAATAATTCTTAAATTTTTTAATTCAAACTTTCTTTTGATAGATGTAGATAAAAAGTGGGGGAAAAAATAAATAAGAATTAAAGATAATTTAGGAGAGAAATTCTCTATTAAATTAGAGATAATTTAGAAAAAAATTGGAGATAATTTAGAAATTCTCTACTAAATTATCTCTATTAAATTAGAGATAATTTAATTCTCTATTAAATTAGAGATTATTTATTTATTGGAATGTGTGAGAGAAGAAAATTTTAGAAAATAGTATTTCTAATTTGGTAGTTTCAAAAATAACATGAATTGAAAAACTTAAAAAATTCAAAAAAAAAAAAAGAAATTTATAGACTTTTTTGGTTTTTTCGCTTCAGATCTCGTACCCAGTTATTGCCTTATTGAACCTCGCTCTGTTCCTTTCCACGAGAGGGAAATCAATTATAACCGTTAGATTCGATCCTTTGGGACTTACAATACAAAGATTTCAATCCAACAGCTTTGATTGCTTATCTTTGTGCTAGGTCATATCCATTGAATCAATTCCTTCTCCCAATAAAATACACTCACCAAACCCTAATAACCCACCGATACAGAAGCCTACAGCCACCTCTCTCGATATCTCGCAACTCTCTTCTACCCTCTCTTCCCCGTCCAATAAGAACCATCGGCGTCAGCGTGGTGCTCTTACTCTTCTTCTCGATGTGCATCGATGATGGTCTTACGGGTGTCTTCACCTCCGGAGTTGAAGAACATTATCGGAGATTCGTCGTATTTCCATCGGAGGTGAAGGCCACCCGCTAGATCTTCATCGATTCCCTTTACAAAGACTTTACTCCAAAAGTTTGGTGAAAGCAATCTTTGAATTCACTGCGTAGAGATGGACGAAAGCTCTTACTGAAGTTTCTGTTTTGCCTAGGTAGGATCTACATGCTGTTGCCGATGGGTAATGCTCAATCAAACTCGTATTTTTCTTGGATTTCTTTTTGATTACTCAATTTCACCATTTTCTTTGATTCTTTGACCCTGAGAATGGCGTAGAAATGTTGGATGAAGAAATTAAACGGGTAGTTACTCATAATTATGAGGTGATTTCAACCTGCATATGTGAGATTGGCCTTAGGTTCCTAAATCCACAACGTGCATAACTGAAAGGATTTTGCATACTTGTGCCTTATATTAAATCCCTTCGTGATGATGTGTAGCAATATTGACTGTTAAGAGCTGGAGCTCGTTGATTTTGGAATGGATGACGGCATGGAGCCCGCAATTGAGCTGGTTACTAGTTCCTTCTATTCGAGAAAATCAATCCGACGAGCTCCAGATTCATCCGTGAATGGATTTTAGTTTCTATTTGGTGAAATTGATTGTGTGAACGGATTTTAGTTTCTTTTTCTTTCTATTTTTCGTAATGTTGAAGAAAATTCAAGCTAAAATGGGAGAATTTGACCTGGAACCCTAATTAAATCATAGATTCATCCGTCTAAAGGTATCAATGTCCACCATTGGATGGGTTCCCTACGATATCATTTTGTAAATTTTAATGTACTGATTTATTGCAAGTTTGACACCGACAAATTTGATGTATTCATTTGTATAATGAAAAGTAATTGTTATTCAGGGAAGGCAATTTTTCCATCCTTTAACCTGGCTTCTCTGAGCCGATAGGATACCCAACGGACAAGTTTATGTAAATCTACAATTTAAAAACATTTTTTATTTAAAAATTTTGGGGACTTGGATCTCTGATTGAAGAACCCAGCCGCTCAGGGAGGGGTTAGGGATGAAAGGTCATTTTTATCCCCATTGTCTGCAGCGGAAATGACTATTGCTGCTGTGAGTCCAAACACATTAATTAGGAGATGTAGGCACTTGGTTTTGTGTGATCCATCAATAAAACCAAAAAATCACACCGAAATGAGGATACCAAGCCAAAAAATCCAGTTCACTGGGTTCGGTGTCTTTCAAAAACCAATGGTATCAGTATGGTCTTGGTTTATTGAACTAACCGGCATATATATTTATATATATTATATATTATGTATAATAAGTTATAGATATTGTCTGTATTTATAGAATTTATATATTTATTTATAACATATATTATAAATATAAAAAGTTGAAAAACCTAAGTATCTAATCAGTAAAAAACCGAATTGATCAACCAAGTAACTGATTGGTTTCGAATTATCTTCAGTTAACGATTTTTTCAAAAACTAGTGGTATTGGTTTGATTTCAAACAAGAATTCACAATTTGGTTTGTTGAGTCATAAATGCCCCTTAACCTGCAATTAGGGGTGGGTATTTGGTTTATTTGATTGAAAACCGAACCAAATAAACCTTATTACTAAGAAATAGGGCTGTTCATGGGTTGGGTTGGGTCGGTTTATCGGCATTTTTCCAACCGACCCAACCTGATCGGTTTACCTAGAAATAAACCCGAAACTGGCTCAGTACTAAGTAAAACCGATCTGGTTGGTTTGAATCGGTTTGGGTCGGTTTTGTAAATGATTCTTTCGGTGTGAACGGTAAAGGATTCAAGTCTAAGCAAAGGCTGGATGCCTGGAAATTAAAAATGATTTGATGGATTAAAACTGATATTTTATATATCAGAAATTTTATATATAATGATATATATATATATATATATATATATATATATATAAGTTGGTTTGGATCGGTTTGGTTTCGGTTTCCACATATGAACCAAAATTGAACTGAACAATCGGTTTATGTTTTTTTTGTAACCCAAAATCGATCGGTGTTGAAGAAAAATCGACCAACTTGGGTTGGATCGGACCAGGTTGGTCGGTTTGGGTCTTGTTATGAACAGCCCTACTAAGAAACCAAAATTAAAATATTCATTTCGGTTTTTGGTTTATTTTAATTAATACCGAGTTTATAAATATATATATATNTATATATATATAATCACATTGCTTAAGCTTTCTGATGCTGTTGCAAGTAAAATCTTCTTGAAAAAGGCATGAAAGTGTCCAAAATATGCATGTAGTTACTATTAAGACCAGTTTTTATTGAAAAAACACACTACAAACTTTAAGAACAAAAGAAACAAAGAGAATTTAAAGGGAATTTAAAGGTGCAACTTTACTCTCGAGTGATTTATATGAAGAGCAAATTTGAAAAATAAATCAATTTCAGAAAAGATATTGAAAGGGTTTGGAATAGTGATTCATCTGAAGAAAAATTTAGAAAACAGATATTTTTGTTAAAAGTAATTTTATGGGTATTTTGGATATTTTCATGACTTTTTTTAGAAACTTCTATTAGAGGGGGTTCAATTGCAATTATGTCAAAATGTAATTGTAATTACCAAATTTTAGGGGAGGTTTAAATAGCAAGTAAAAACATAAGACGAGATTTCATCAATTTACCCATATATTTTATTATATTATATACGTAATCATTAATTTTAGTTAATTTGATTTGTTTTTGTTGAGGAGTTTCTAATTCTAAAAGCCGAAACTGAAATTTTTTCACGTAGAAAGTGTTAAGGTTTGTGGTTCTCCATAGCTAATAATGCCATAAGTCACAGAAAAATTAAGTTTAACGTAAAATTCAAGAATTAAGTTTAGCATAGAAAAGTGTTAGGTGGCTTAAAAGGTATTAAGTTAATTCAAAAGGAATTGACAAATCATAGGTAGTTTGGCGGATTAGGGTGTTAGTTGTCGGCTCCTAGCACATTTAATTAATGTGATAGCACACATGTTAGAAATTGGTCTAAATTAGGAGTTTTGGTTTTGTAGAAAACCTTGGATCTTTCCACTCAAAGTGAGAAACTGAGAGTTTAATTCTAGAGAGTTCTTGATGGGAAGAGTCTTCTAACTACATAAGTTTTCTTTTATGGTAGTAATTGCCGCACACAAGCAAGAACACCCATTACTCAATGCAAAAGCTAGTGGAGAGAGTTGAAGATCCCCAAGTTCGATTTGCAGAATATGGAAATGAAAACAGCGGAGGAGATTTGGGATTGGGATTGCACATTGCTTGGTTCAGGAGTCAAGACAGACAAATTGGGTTGTTTTTCTTTGGGTTACTAAAATGCCCTCAAATTAATTAAAAGCTCTAGATCTCTTTCTTTTGCCTCACGGATTCTTAGTGATGGAGCAGAAGTAACTATTAAACCTGTTCATCACTGCTATTGATGTTGGCTGAAGAGACGGGCTTTGTGATGAATGTTGGCTTGTAGTCTCCGGGCATGAGGATGACAACCCTGTACTCAGTGTCGGGTGGTGGACTGGTGGGTTTTGTTGTTTTCTCCTCAGTTTCATGCAACGAATTGGTGGAAGGCTTTCGGTGAGCACCCCTTTCAACCGAATATTCAGCAAGCGCTAAGCGAAAACAGAGCAATCTCAGTAAAGAAACGATCTTCTCTAATCTATCCTGAGATTTGCTAACGTAAACCTCTCTTGCTTGATTTGGCTAGAGAAAGAAAAAGCTTGAAAGCCAATAGGATGGAGATCCAAAATTGGATGAAGCTCAGAGACCAATAGGATGCATATATCTTAAATTTGAATTGGATCCGGTCGCTACCTCCAAAGAAGCAGAAGGAGAACAGAGAGGAATGAAAGAAAATAATTCAACAAAATAGGAACAAGAGCAATAAGAAAAGAAGAAGACAGGAGAGGTGGGGGAAATTATTAAGGGAGAAAAGTCAATACACATAAGTATTGGGAGCGCCACGTTTCAAGCGAAAAGGGAAACTGCATCTGCATCGAATGCAAAAATTCCCACCGATGAGCAACTCTGATTTTAATTTCGGATGTCTTGTTACGTGCCCTCCTCGTCCTCCTCCTCCTCCTCTCTCTCTCTCTCTCAACTCACAGTCTCATTCTTATAGAGGAAGAGGAGTTTCATGGTGGCAAGCTAACAAAAAAGCTACCGGAGATTAGCGATTTTTGTAGCTCCTCTATCTCTATTTGAGACGTAGGGAAGGAAGGAGTTTGGTTTCCTGTGCCATTCATTTAACACCGTAAACGTGGCAAATGATTGCTGTTTATATGTAATGCCGATTGTTAGGGCACAAGTCCAAACCATGGTAGCCAGCTCCATTGTTAGTTCTGGTGTTTAGCTCTATTTCTTAGCTCGGTTTTTCTTTGGTTTTCTCTTGTGTCTGTGTCTCTGATGTATTGGTCTGTGTTTCTGGTGTGTTTGTTTTTGGTTCTGGCTTTTAATGAAGCATCTGGGTTATGTCCTAACTTAACTTAGACAATGCGGCAAGAGACGATGAATAGTAAAAATTAGATGAAACTTAAGGGGCATTTGTATCTTTTCCCATGACATTTAACGGTGAGTTAAGGCCAGGTATTACATTGTCGCAAAATGAAAGTTCAGGTATTAGATTGTTGCATTTTAAAGTTTGGGTACTAAATTGGCACTCGACCTAAAGTATGGAGTACCTATCGGTATTTTCCCTTAAAATTATATATACTTAAACATTAGAGGAAGTTTTTGTCTATTTGACAAACTAGAAAGATGCCTTTTAAGAATTTAACCCTAAATTTATCTAGTATCATGTATTTATTGTATCATACTCGAACCACTACCTTAATGGTAGGGATGCAAACTGATGAAGGGTGATTTGATATGACCTAGCAAGAAGGGGACACGTAGGCGCGATCTAATCGAGGGGTGACAACTTAGCCAAGCGAACCCAGTTTGCAACATCCGGAGCTCGGGTATTCAGCCACCTCGGCCCAAAAAACTACTTCGGTGTAGAGGCACCTCGACACTCAATCTAGTTTGGGACTAAAGAATCGAAGTTCCAATTTGGGGCTAGAGAGCCGAAACGTCACATGATCGACTCCAAAGGCCTCCCCAACAGGCCTCGAATTTCTTGGGATCACGATAAGACTCATCCTAGCTCTGTCTAAATCGGAGGTAAAATGATAAACCTTATCAACATACTACTCTCCTTCAAAAACGGAACAAACATTGTCTACATAGCCCGGAGATCTCGGAGATCTTTCATAAGGCCCATGACTACTCCAGTATATAAAGACATGAAACCTCAAGGCAAAGGTATGTGTGATTATTCTACTCACTAGCACTCAAGCTTTCAAGCATTCAACTCACATTTACAGCATAAGTACTGACTTAAGCATCGGAGCGACTATGCCGGGTTAGCTACCCCGGGTTCTCTGATCCACTGTTTTGTAGACTGGTCCAGCTCACTGCCCGATTGGAGTTCAGATCGCCTTCCAACTAGGAGTAGCCAGATCGCGCACCATCAATTGGCGTCGTATGTGGGAAACGATCAAAAGGTCATCCCTATCTCTTTACAGTTCAAAAATCAATCTCAACCCCAATGGAATCTTCCAGCCACACCGGGAAAAGTATTGAGATGAACGTCATCGGGGGGCAAGCTCAGCAATCAACCTTCCCCCAAGGTCCTACGGTATGCATCGACCAGTTTACTATTCCGCTCACAGTGTCCGGAGTTCCATCACTATTTGCACCACAGAGCACCACGCAAGTGAGCGTGCCACTTCCCCCAGTGGTGGGCACGACTTTCTCTGAGCCATCCATGGTTCCCCCCGGAATCGGGCATTCGTAGTTCCATGACCTCGTTTAGTGCATCTGGACAATTCAGATCCA